CTCATGTGGTGATTAAGGTTTGTTAAGCAGTTAAAACTCTTCCCACACTGAGTGCATACGTATGGTTTCTCTCCAGTGTGGATCCTCATGTGTTGATTAAGGTGTGACGATTGTTTGAAACTCTTCGCACACTGAGTGCATGTGAATGGTTTCTTTCCAGTGTGGATCATCATGTGTTTATTAAGGTGTGATGAGCAGTTAAAACTTTTCCCACAATGAGTGCATGTGAAGGGTTTCTCTCCAGTGTGGATCATCATGTGTAAATTAAGGTGTGATGATTGGTTGAAACTCTTCCCACACTGTGCATGTGAATGGTTTCTCTCCAGTGTGGATTATCATGTGAATCTTAAGTTTGCTTTTGGTTGCGAAACTCTTTCCACACTGAGTGCAGGTGAAACGATTCTTGTCTCTCCTTTTTAAAACACCATCAGTCTGTAAATGAGTTTTTTCCTCAATTTTGACATGATGTTCCTCCTCTTTACTCCCCTCATTCTCTTCAATTAGGTCTGAAATAAATAAAACATTAGTTTTCATTAAGTCTTAAAAACTCTCATCAAAAGCTGAAAAGTGGAAAGACACTGGAAACATTGGCTACACACACTATAATTTTGATGCACATTAAATGTAAAATAAATCAGATCATATTGTGTTTGGTCCATTAACGTGTACACATTTAAGCAGATTCAATTCAATTCATCTTTATTTATCTAGTGCTTTTACAATGTAAATTGTGTCAAAGCCGCTTAACATAGAAGTTATAGTAAATTTAAACAGTGTCAGTCCAGTTTTTAGAGTTTTTCATAAAAGTCATTTTGGTCATATTGATAAGACACAGATTTCTACGATTTGTAAAGTGGACAGGGAATACTTGTTTGTTGTGTGCCTGACTGGTAAATGTATCAGAAAAAAAGTTCTGGGGTAACAGCTGAATAATTGCCTCACAGACATGAGACATACCTGTACAGCATCTGCATAAAGGCTGAATGTGCACCTTTCCCTTTGTTTGCTGTTGGGTCATTTTCATCCATTCTGGGGTGATTTTGAGGCTTAATTTGGCCAAAACGTTCTCAGTGTTTCAGCAAAGGGACTGATATTTGGGGACATCTTATTTTGACATATTCTGGAAAAATGCTCCATTGGCCTCTATTATAATTTTTTTTATAGTGCAAATAAAATACAATAAATAATAACAACAACAACAACATGGAAATCACTCAAATAAGCATATAAATGAGAGTAATAAATTCATTAAGACACAATGAGTTCCCCATCAATGGGAAAATGCTTTAAAATTTTTTTTAAAAACCTCAATACACTCTGGGCAAATTTACTCCCTTTTCGTTATATTCATGGCTGTTTTTTCTCCATTGACCTCTATTATAAGAACATTTTTTTTTATTGCAAAGCCATGACAGCATATATTCATGAATTTATGATTGTTGGTGTTTTTTGTAACGACATTGTTTAATTGGTCTCCACCCATGTGACGGCAAAAAGGAAATGGGTGAGAGAATAAAGGAGGAGGAGGAGAGTTAAAGAAGGCAGCATTATGTGGTGTGTAGAAGAAAGAGATGTTGACTGAACTGTTGCAGAGTGGGGAAACGAGTAGAGAAGTCGGGTCGAGATGAGCAGTGTAAACTAAGCGACTGGCTGTGAGAAACAAAAAGCGGAAGTATGTATTGAAGCAACAGAGCAAAGACCGCTGTCTTGTTACTGAAGTGCACGTGACGTCGTTGAATGTGTGCGTCACTAAAGACTTCAGTGCAGTGTGTCCTGAACAAAATCAACTTACTGATTTATCTCCTGACATGGAGTCAGCTGCCAACTCACCGGCTGGGTTCACCAACACCCTCAACCTTCACATCCACATTCGCCATTCCCCACTCATGTCCCTTGACCCCTCCACTCCGTGGGTAAGAAGCAAAAGTTTTTGTTTTCTTTGCCCAAATGCTTATTTTGTTTCTCTTGTTTTGTTTTCTCCCCGTACTATTGTTATCATTATTATTTTCCCCGTTTTCAAATCTGACAAATCTGCTGGCCTGAAATCATTTGCATTTTTTTCTTTCATTTGATTTATAAGTGCTGAGGGTTCTGCGTTTCATTGTTATATTGTTTGTTTTGTTGTTGATACTGATGTTTGTGTGTGAAAAGTATTTTTTATTAATATTATTGACTAATACAAACTTTATTTAGACAATTACAGCAATTATCTGAGTTTTTTTCTGGTTCTCTTTGTTTGTTATTTATTTATTTTTTTTATTTGTAACTGGTGGTGAGAGCTAGCCGTGGTATATTTTGTTTGAAATGTATTTTGACAGATATTCTGTCTGGCGCCCAAGATTAACTACTTAAAAACAAGTGACAAACATATTTGTTTAATATTTGTTTATTGTATTTTGGGGGGGGATCACCATTCCCACATCACCATTACATTTCCCTGTTGGGAAGAGATTTGTGATTTTTAAAATTGATTATCAGTTTCAGTGCAAAAAAGTTTCTGCCTTTTATATGGAGTATAGTGTGTGTGTGTGTGTGTGTGTGCGTGTGTGCGTGCGTGTGTGAAAGAGAGAGAAGCTGGATTTATTGACCTTATTCTAAAATGCGGAAGTGCGCCTGTTTTCGCGATTGTTTTAGAACTTCCGATTCAGTCGCCTAAGGTAGAAATGACTAGGAATAATAAACGGCAGAAAATGGTCAAACTACTTGCTCAACAAGCAAATGTTTGCATGACTATAAAGACCAAGTAGAATAATATAATAAGGAAATATCAGTTTGCAACATCAAACAGCGAAAATAGCAGTTTTTAATGTCTAAAAATGAATGTAAGTGAAAGACCGGAAGTCTCGTGCCAAAAAGATTCAAATGGTTCCGCCCGCTCGTCGGCGAAGAATAAGGTGAATACTCTAGCCTGGCACCGCACCACACACCACCGCTGACTGCACGCTCACCTCGCGAAATGGACGAGGCTTTACTCGCCACGTCCGCCATTGTGATGTTCTTTAAAATGACAGGGGGCGGTCAAAAGAAACCCACTGTAAAGTCAGACGGATAAACAGAGAAGTAGAAAGTTTCCGAAACTACGTCATTTCATTAATATCGTTCAATGTTTTAAACTAAATAGATTTTTTGTTTATATAAATTATTTTAATGATTATAAGGATTTTTATGACCATTAAAGATTTTTTTTTTATCAAACTTTGGTGCATCACTTGCTTTTGTTCATATCTCGGACAGTTTTACCCATTATAATTTCTTAAAATATTAATGACAGCAGAACATGGGCTGCCCTACAAATACATATTTTCATTATGGCAAGAATAAAAGCAAAAAAAGAAAAAGTACACTTACTAAAAAATACACGTTTCTTTAGATTTAGCCCGCTCCACAATTCAAACATTACTGTATGGCTAGTTTCACTCCTCTGCTTATGCTAAAAAGGCAATAATGGTCCAACATTTCTGACCATTATCATCAATAAAGCCTAGAAAAACAGGCATCAGTATATTGTGAACTGATAGGTTCAAATATTCCCTGTGTGTTTTGTTTTTGTGAAGTTTCAGTGCACTTTACTAACACATTTCTTAAAACAGTTTGCATAGAGAGAAAAGAGAGAATTCTAGACATCTAATTGTTGTTGTTCTGAGATTGTATGTAAATCGGTCTACAAACTTGTTGTGAGTGTTGAAGCTGGCCTCTGCTGAAGAAACAGCAAACTATCTACAATAAACTTTCTTTTAATTGAATCTCTGACTCCTGCTCTTCTTCATCTGATAGACTGGTCATTTTTGGGTTAAAACTGTTGGTCCCCCTACAAAGTGTATTTATGCACTCACACTAAAATCTGCTGTTTTACTCCACTGAACTCCATATAAAAGACAGAAACTTATTTGAACAGGCCCATCTAAAGGGTGAATGCAGCCAACTGATGATCAACAGTAAAAATGACACATTTGACCTCTTCCCAACAAGGAAAACAGCAACAATCTAGAATGCATGATTATTTGGTGTCATGGCTTTGCGGTTAAAAAATGTGGTTATAATGGAAGTCAATGGGTCCAAAAACAGCCAAGAACATAATGAAAGAGTATATAGATTGGGAGATTAATCGTATTAACATCACGATAACGATATTTTTGGCCCATGATCATGAAAACGGGAGACTAATAATACATAAAAGAATGACAAAAGACATGAGAACAAGTAACAAATGAAACTCATTCCTGTCATTCAATGAGTGCTTATGTGCATTTAGGAGAACTAGGCAGCACACTCAGAGCTGCAAGATGGATTTAATTTAGTATTCTTATTATTATAATATATCTTAATGAGGATTAAATGACTGAGTTGGTCTTTGAGAATGAAAACTAACCTGTTTGTTCCTGTGGATCTTCCTGTTTGACTGTAATTGTTTCTTCAATCTTCACATCTTCACTCTCCTCTTTAATAAACGCCATCTTTATAACAGTGTGGAGATCAGTCGCTTTAGCAGAATTTTTCTCTGCGTTTGGACACTTTGTCCTGCTTAAAATGAACAAAACAATAAAAATGTTCCGTTTAAAATAAATAAAACAATGAACAGAAATAAAGTAACTTCTCTTCAACACTTGCTTCAACAGTCTCTTTGTATGAAAGAAATTAACAAAAAGAAATCAGGTAAGTCAGAGCGAGAAACAAAAGCCACAAATGACCTGATTAAAACTAGTACTCCATTTCTTATAGTGATGTATACTTAGAATGGAATGACATTATACTATTTAATAAAGTAAACCTTCATTAAAACACTTATTACACACTGTTACATCCCTGTAACTTTATTTGAGTTTGTTCTTAATTGTTGTTTGTTTTATTTACTTTATTGTCTGCTTACAGCAACGTGTAGCATTTTTTTGCCCAAGACAAATTTTCTCTCGGGGACAAAAAGTTTATCTTATCTTTATTCAAACAATAGACCTCATTACTGTGAGTTAAATAGTAGCTGCTACTGCTATCCGCTACTACTATCTGCTTGCTGCTACTTTACTGTTGCAGTTACTGCTAACTGCTACTACTAACTGTTACGTGCTCTATTTACTGCTGTTGTTACTACGACCTGCTACTACTATCTCCTATTGCTACTGTTATATAATTTGTGATTTTTGTTCTGTTTGGTTGTGTGATTCGGTGTGCAAAAGAGTGAGTTTTGTGTTCTGTGTGAATCTTGCTTTTCTATAGCGAAACTACAGAAGCTGTATTTGGTTTTTCTTTTCTTGTGTTTGGTTTGTTGTTTGTTTTACTCTTGTATAATTTATCCCGTATATTGATTTTGATTTTCCTTGCAGGAACTGAGGTCCCATGGGTGCAGGATCTTGAGGTGGTGGTGGTGTCACTGCACTTGACATTCTTGCTGTGGACGGTTAGGGAAGTGTGGAGTGTGTGGATCTAGTGTGGTGTGTGTGTGTGTGTGTGGAAGTGTGCTTTTTGAACACAACGGAGCACTGGTGATTCCCCCTCCCATGTGTGACCTCAGCCCTGTAAGTTAGTTTATTCAATTTATTTCCCCGGTTAATTTCATTTTCATATTTACTTTGTAATAACGTTGTTGTTGTTGTCTTCTATAAATTTGTTTTCTTTTTTTTATTTTACTGCAGTTGTGTTGGAGGGAGGTGCTGGCAAAATGTTCAGAGAATGTTATGTGACTATTTTAATCTGCCACAAATTCTGAAAATAAATTTTGTACTTTTATACTATACCCACGTCTCTTGCCTATCCATATGAGAACTGAACCTGTGTGGCCTAAGAGTAAGGTTTAAGCCAATTTCTATTTCCTGGGAGAAAACCTCTCAGGTGGCGTAGTTGGATTTGCTTTGTGGATAAATTGACAATCCCTACTCTTTTCCCCCCCCCATATTCCCTCCTGCCACACAACACTGAAAACTCCTCATCTAGTCAAGAGTTACAGGCTTATTACTGGACACAGACATTACTGAGCTTGAGTTCTTTGCTTTATTAAGCATTATTAATCCACAGTTGTGCTTGTGAACATCAGTTAATGCACTGAGAGTCAACAAGAACTAACAGAGAACAACTTTATTGTCATCAACTAACATGAAAAGATCAATAAATACTGGAATAAATGTGTTTCTATTGTTCAGTTCAAGTCAAATCATGAAGAAGAAGAAGATCAGAAGAGCAGAAACAAATGTCACACTTCATTTCTCCTTTATTCATTGAGCTGCTGGATTTCTCAACAGTTGATTCAAGATTTGACAGAGATTCAGACAGGATTCAGACATTTCCATGTTCATCATCACATTCTAATATCAGCAGTGGATTTGACATTGACTTTTATTATTTGTGCTCAAACAACAGAGAAACAATGAAGAAGATCAATCTGTAGACAAGAATGAGCTGATCTGAACACAGCAGCATCCTGGAGGACACTTCATCAACATCAATGATGACACTAATGAAGACTGAGACACACGCACACGCACACACAGACACACAGACACAAACGAACACAGGCTCTCTCTCACACACACACACATGCATGTGGACACACTCTCTGTCACGCACACACACATAGGCCCCGTTTACACTAATGCGTTTTAGTTTGAAAACGCATAAGTTTTGCTACGGTTACGCCATCCGTCCACACTACGCCGGAGTTCTCGAGCGCCGAAAACGGAGCGTTTCGAAAATGCTGGAGAGGCCGTTTTCATTCTGAAACGCAGCTGCTCCGTCTCAGTGTGGATGATGGAAAACGGAGACATTTGAAAACGGAGGCGGGGCTGCTGACGTTCGCCTCTCTGATTGGGGCTTTTCCTGAATATTAAGTAGCCTAACACGCACAGTTCAGTCCTGCATCTTCTCCGTGTAAGTTAAAACTTCGCAAGTTTGATCATGGCTGCAGTCTCTTCTTCTCAGTTTGATATGGAAAACAGACTATACCGAGGACACGGGTAAATCTTCAAAGGGAACAGTGTACTTTATAACTTCATTCACATCACCCTGGCTACGTTGTTTTACTTTCTCAACAATAAAATGTAAACATGATATAAGGAACTGCCTATTTTCATTTTAATATTAACTAAACAAACAGCAAAAATGTTGAGGCGTCTTGCTGCATATATGAGCGTCATCTTCACTGTGTGGATATTTATAACAAAACGGAGCCGATAACAACTGCCTCCTTTCAATTTCATTGAAAATACGAAACAGCCTCTCTTTGCTGAATATCAGTTTTAATCGATAATGGCCATTATAAAAGTATAACATACAATAAGTTTATACATTATAGGAAATAAAGGCAAGCGATCAGTCAATATACAGAATGTACGTGCTTACATTAATCATTAACTTATCTTTGCGCTTAGCCAAAACACGTTACCTGAGAACAAGTAATAGATTCCAATGTCCAATGAATATGTCGTTAAATAAAGACAACAAGATGAAAGAAATATTCCGTTTAATAAATATAGTGAGGTTAGATCCAGCGGGAGATGCTTGATGAGAAGTCCGACTAGCACAGCTCTCATCTGGGTAGATTGGCTACAGCGCTTGCCTGAGAGTGTGTGTGTGGTCACGTGATGTGCGTTTTCAGCGTTTTGGTGTGGACGGAGAGCAGTTCAGAAACGCTGGGTGAAACGCGAGTGTGGACGCGGATCGTTTTCATTCTAAAACGCCGTTTTAAAACTAAAACGCACTAGTGTAAACGGGGCCATAGACACAAACACAGACTCGCACTTGCACACACACAGATACACACAAACACTCTCTCTCATTCAGACACACACACACACACTGCTGCTGACTGCTCCTGCAGAGGATTCTGGGTAAATCTCTCGTCAGTCTTCAGCTCAGTTTCACTGATGATCCAGAATAAACAGTAAACCCAGGGCAGAGCGGCTCAGTGAATGTGGTCTGGACTGAGTGGATGAGGCTCATTGTGTCTCTATAGATGTTGTAGAAGATCAGAGTTCCTGCACTGTGATCCACAAACACTCCTATTCTCCTGCTGAGCCGCTTCACTGGGAGATCAGTGCGTGTGTCATTGTGTCTGAATGAGGAACTGGAGGAAGAGCAGAACAAACTCCAGGACTGAGCATTAAATCCGAACCAAGACTCAGCACCTCTTCCCTTCCTCCTGATGCTCTTATATGACACTGATATACACACACCATCATCTCCACTCCAGTCAATCTCCCAGTAACAGCGTCCACACACACTCTCTCTGCACAACACCTGAGGCCAATAATCAAATCTGTATGGATGATCAGGATACGGCTGATTCTCCCACACACTCTTCACCTTTCTGTTCTCCTCAGACAGAATGAGTTGAGTGTGTGCTGTGTTTGGATCCAGAGTAAGAGAACGGACATCTGAACACAAGAACACACACATTTATAACCACAGCTGTGTGTGTGTGTGTGTGTGTGTGTGTGAGAGAGAAAGAGAGTGTGTGTGTGGGTGTTAGATTGTGTGTGCGCATGCATATGTTCACTGCTTTTTGTGCATGTGTCTGTGTGTGAGTGTGTGTGTGAGAGAGAGAGAGAGAGTGTGTGTGTCTGTGTGTGTGTGAGAGATAGACTGTTTGTGTGTGTGAGAGAGAGAGAGATAGACTGTTTGCGTGTGTGTGTGTGAGAGAGAGAGATGGACTGTGTGTGTGTGTTCATAGCTGTTTATGTGTGTGTCTGTGTGTGAGAGAGAGAATGTGTGTGTGTATGAGTGCGTGTGTGAGAGAGAGAGTGTGTGTGTGTGTGTGCGTATGTGAGTGAATGTGTGCATGTGTGTGTGTGAGAGAGAAAGTTGTGCGTACATGTGTGTGTGTGCGTGTGTGTGTGAGAGAGAGAGAGAGTGTGTGTGTGTGTGTGTGTGTGAGCGCATGTGTTCATAGCTATTTGAATGTCTGTCTGTGTGTGTAAGAGAGAGAGAATGAGTGTGTGCATGTGTGTATGTTTGTGAGTGCGTGTGCATGTGAGTGTGTGTGTGTGTGTGTAGTCCTACATTTGTGCAGTCCTGCTGTAATCCTCGTGTGTCCTCCATGATCCAGACTGTAAACACACACAGATGGAGAGAATGAGCTGTTTAGTTTCCCCCTCAGCTAATAAGCTAAAGCTAGCACTGAGCTGCTCAGCTACACGCTCCAAACTCTTCAGCTAAAACACACAACACTTGTTGGTTGAGCCGGGATGCACAATGAATGTAACACAGTGCGTTCTTTTCCTCTGCTGTTGGTGAAGCGAGCGCAGATACTGCTCATGTTGATGGAGACACCCTGCTGCAACATTCATTTATTACAGTGATCACACTTAGCTTTGCCATCGTTCTTCAGCACATGCAGCCTTTGAGCACATGTTGCAGTCCATCTCTAAACTATGTTCAGATTATTAAAGCTGCTCGCCAGCGCCCAAGTTCCTGACAGATTAGCAAGTGAAAAATACACATGTGTGCACAGAGAAGAGGAATCCAGATGTTGATTTTAGAACAAGAGTCTGAACATTAATCCAAGTGTCTGATTCCAGAATCTGAATCCATCTTCAATCCCCAACCCTATTCCTGACCTGATATTGTAGGATTCTTCAGCAGAAATGGAGGAAGAAGTTTCTCTGCTCAGCTCAAATGCTGAAACTGTACAGTGTGTCCCGCTTAATGTCACTGTAACTGAGCCAATACACTCCAACATTTACAGAGGAGATTCATTTCACACTCAATGATTTGCTCTTCATAGACATGACTGTAATACTCTACAAGCTGTATCTTCTGTCTGTCCTTACCCCATAACCCTCACAGAAAACTGAAGCTGATCACAAAAGAGCTTTCTAGTGTCTTTTTAAAGCCATTCAGTGTAAAAGCACAAGGCCAGTGCTGCTCCACATACTTGAGTTTGTCCAGTGTGTAGTTTGGATCCTCCAGTTGTTCAGAGAGCAGCTTGACTCCTGAATCTCCTGGATGATTGTAGCTCAGATCCAGCTCTCTCAGGTGTGAGGGGTTTGAAGTCAGAGCTGAAGACAGAAAACCACAGCCTTCCTCTGTCACCATACAGCCAGACAATCTACAAACACAGCAATAGTCCACATCACACAGTTGGACAATCACACATCTCTTTGTGTTGTGAAGATGCTGACTGCTGTTTCTGCTCATGTCAACAGCAGTGATGAACACACACATCCTGATTAGCTCTCCTTATTGATCGAGCCCTCGCATCAGCAAACACACACACACAAATAATGTTTCATCTTAATGTGGTTTAATAGTTGATTTTAAAACATTATAAGTGTGATTTGTTGATGATCGACACCAAGATGCAGGATTAAAGCTGGTTGTATGACTGTAAGACATTTACTCAAATGTTGCAGAGGTCTGAAATGTGTAATCAGGTGTAGGCTGGGTGATGTCAGACAATATTTATTAATAATCGACTTTAAAGATATCTTGATGTCTGATAATCTCATCTCTTCCCTTACATCTGTCATGAGACATGCCCACACGCCACTGCCGGCCTGCACACACACACACACACACACACACACACACACACACACACACACACACACACACACACACACACACACACACACACACACACACACACACACACACACACACACACACACACACGATATACTTGGAATACTATACACGGAATACTTGGAGAAGAAAGAAACACTGGTGAACTCCTCTGAATGACCAAAACACCCAGGCGGGACAGAGCAACAGACCGATTCTGAGCTGCTTATCTTGGAGGAT